CTGAAAGACAGCAGTAAGAAGGAGCCAAGGAGTAGCAGTAGAAAGGCTGCAGAAAGAGTCAGGAGCCCAGAGGGGGGGGCAAAGGAGGTGAGGGGAAAGGCCAGAAAGTTTTGTTTTCGTAATAGTGTTACGGCACTTGCAACACAAGAAGGTCATATTATAAGTGCTAAAGATTAGAGGTATAACTAGAGAGTGAAATGAAAATGATGAAATGATATCGGTTTAACGCCCCTATCAACACGGGACCTCCCGTGTTTAAAGTTCAACTAAAAAAATGCCTAGGTGGGTGGTTGGCGGGTGCTCTGGTGTGGTTTGTTTCTTCTTTTCTATCAAACATCTATCGTCCTTATCTCCCCTCCTTTTTTATGTTTGTTACTCTCTTGTACCCCCTCTAATCTTCTGGCGCTCATATGACCTTATGCAGTTGCGAGCGCCTTAAAAACCTCTACTAAAACTAAAAACAAAAAATGCAGAGCGAAATTGGAAATTCCTGTAGAGTGCCTTTCTAAAGATCGCGAACGTCGGGCCGAGCTGTACAAGAGAGAAACAAACACAATTTTTAAAAATGAAAGAAGAGAGATAAGTAGGACGATAGATGTTTGATAGAAAAAAGGACCAAATGACACCAGAGCATCCGCCAACCATCCACATTGATACAGTGAAACCTCGGCAAACCGTAAAGTTGTTCCCGCATCCGATCCGGACATTGGGGATTGCCATGTTAGTGAGACAACTTCCTGGGCCTTCCGCATATTGTGGTAGGGTGGCCAGTTCCTTTCCACTCCGCCGCATAAACTGTACGCGGCTTTAAAACGTACTATCAGCTATAACATTCACTTTCTGAAGGCCCAAGTTTCATTGAGCAGTTTCACTCTTTTTGACAATACGTACCTCGACTTAGCTGTAAAATTTTCTGGTCCTATGGAGCACTTTATATTGAGCTTCTGTTATATCTTTAAATAAAACAAATAACGCGGGTGGTAGGCGGATGCTCTGGTATGATGTGCTCCTTCTTTCCGATCAAATATGTATTGTCCAAAGCTCTACTCCTGCATTTTGTGTTTGTATGACCTTAATGTGCTGCAGGTGCCGTAAACGTCGTGTTTTACCATCGTATCCATACGACGTGGGGAACTCTGTGCCACCACCTTCCACACTTTCCAAAGAGGAAATTTACTCGTTAATCAGATCTGTACGCTTTGCATAGCAGTCTGTCAAAATGATTTTTGGGGAAATTACTGAAAGTTTCAAAGAGATCGTCGCAACTAGAAGTATTCTAAAAAGTGAAGAATACAACCCCAAGGGTACAACATGACCCCAGGCGTACGGATAGGGTTAAGTGATTTTAATGTTTTAATAATATATATATTATAATTTTGTGAGCAATAACAATTTATATCTGACTGTTATAATATTGTTAAATAGCTTGTATGTGAAGTTGCTTCTGTGAAAATAAACTTAGACATCCCCCGTCCCCTCCTTTTTCATTTCCACACAACACTTCATTTTTACAGTAAGTCAAAAACATCTTTGTGCGTGACGTCACGGCGCTCACCACAACATGGCCGCTCGGAGACTGGAGGACCGAGATGTGTGATCTAGATCTAGGTCAGCGGCTGTCGAGGTGATCACGTCTGCTGTCACCACAAGCTGGTACAGAGAGGGCGATATCAAAGCTGCTACCTTTGAGAACAAATTAAAACCATCAAACCTTTTTTAAAATCTAAAATGCAGGTGAGTAG